CTACACAATTCTCTCTTCTGGGTTCTACTAATATCTCCCTAACTTTTGTCTCCTTCAGGCCTAGGGGAGATAATGACTTTCCCTCCACTACTTAGCCAAGTCCTATACTACCTCTTGAGGCCTCCTCCCACCTCCCACACCTTGTGAACAGTTCTTTTCAAAACAAACCCTCCTTGAAATAGCCCGCTCTGAATGTGCTGTTTCCTGTTGGGTGCCTGACTGATGCCCCATTGTCTATGCCAACCTTGGGAAGAGATTATTTTATGATTTAGGGAAATTTCTGAATTATGACAAGCTCCTCTCTTGCAATCTAAAATGGGGTTAGGATATAGACATAACCCTTTTTTCTACCTTTGCCTTTGTCCTAGTCAGACTTGAAAAGTCATCAATTCCCAGAACCCCCTATATATTTATGTGCCTGGCCCTTTCACCAAATTCTTGATCTATTTTTTCAGTCTAGTGATTCTTTCATGCAATTTTTAATTTTCTCAATAGTCTCATTAAATATGGCCTTCTGTGTTGGACTCTTTATAGAAATATTTATAATGACTCATTGAGACTCACATTCCTTCCTGTCAGATTTTTATCCATAATGGCAGGGGATGGAGAGTACTTTTGTTTCCCAGGTTCTTAATCCAGTGGCCTCAATAGACATATATTGAGACCACAAATGAATAAGGAAGAGAGAAATTAACAAATAAAAAGTAATTGGAACATAAAGACTTTAAAAATGTTGAAGTGATGAGAGGAACTATAGAACAGAATTTAATTCTGACTGAGAAGGGAGGTAATGAAAATAGGGAGTAGGGAAGAGGCTACTAATTGGATCCTGCATGCATATGAGGTGGAAGGGACCAGGAGACAATGTCTGTGAGCTCTATTCTATTTTCTTCCAGAGCCAAACCATGACAAAGACCCCAAGCCAGGAGGTATATATAGCCTTAGCCACTCCAAACAAGTCCTAAATTTAGGTCATGAGTCCAATGACAAATATACACACAAAAAAACCTTTGGCCACTCTCCAATCATTAAATAATTCTAGTCAGCATGTTGTAACAGTGGGAAAACCTGGCCAATAATCAATCATTTCATAACTGAACCCACTAACTTGGACCATCCTAGCCTATCTGCTGGGATTTGAAGTTCTCTCAACAAGGAGCTCTTACAGACCAAGGGCCAAGAAACATGTGGAGAGTATCTCTCAGGTTTGACAGTTGTGCTTTTAAGCATTCTCCCCTTCCTGTTTCTTAATATGCTGGCTCATTTATGAGAAGCATTGTGATCCTAAGCCAAGGATACAGGCCCACAGAGGCCCAGGTAATGTGGGATCTAAGCTTTCAGCTTCATGGGGCCAAATCTGCTGATCTAAGCAGCTTCCTAGGCCTGTCAGGGCGTTGGTGTTACTGATGTGCAGTTGTTCTATTATCTCCCTTTTCTGAGGTGGGTAAGCCTTTGTAGATGAAGCAGTCATCTGCACTTTCCCAGTTTCACATGAGCTTTTTACAACATATCACCAACATATGTTTGACAGTGAATCCAAGCTTTTACAAGGTTTCATATGGTGATGCCTGGTCTCCTCTGGCCTGCAGTGCTGAGTTACTCTGTCATCTGTGTGAATCTGCTTTTCTATCAGGCAATAAAGTAAAATCTACACTTGGTCAGATTTTCTGGGTTTTGTTTTTGTTTCTGTTTTTAGAGAGAGATTTTTGCTAAAGGGTGCATATGCTTGTCAGAGAGACAGAAAGCGAGAAATCACGCCCCCTCCCAGGTGGGATGGCCATGCTGCAATCCCTTCTACTCCATTCTCCTCTCAGGATTTTGAGCATGCTCACACACACTGCCAGCATGAGTTTCAAGCCACTGGGTATGGGACTCGAACCACAATTGGCCACATGGGAGTCCAGTGCCTTAACCACTATGTTACCTGCTGGCTTAGATTTTCTGTTCTTATAGGAACAGGTTTGCCTTTATCAACTTTCTCACATGGTGCCAGGTGATAAGCAGGTGGTCCATAGTCTGACATCAAACAGATGGCACAGTGTAAAGGTCATTGAGTCAAAACTGGGGACAGGCATGTTCTTACTGTCGTGCCCAGGTGCATGATGCTGAGATAATGCTCCAGCAGCTCCTCTTCAGAGAATTCTTCCCTGGCCTCCCTTGACCCTCCTCCAGTCTGAGCTGGATCCCCGTCTCCTCTATTCCTACAGCACAGTGAACTTCCTACTCTATGAAGTGGTTGGAACAAGGTTCAAAGTATACCTGCACTGGAAGGTAGAAAGAAGTATAAACCATGCAAATGTTTCAAAAAAGTATTTCTCATTACTTCCAATTTAAAGTATCATGTTTTTTTGTCATTAAAATTTCATTCAAACAACTATGTTTTTAGTTATTTCTATTTTTAAGGTTTTTGCCATAGGGCATGTGTGCTTGCCAAAGACAGTGAGAAGAAAAGTGAGAAATCATTCCCCTGAGGAGATGGCCACACTGCAATCCTTTCTTCTCCAGTCTCCCCCTGGGATTTTGGGCACACACACCTGGCATGATTTTCAAGCTGCTGGGTCTGGGACTTGAATGATATTGGCCATGTGGAAATCCAGTGCTTTAACCACCATACTACCTGCTAGCCCTGTTTTTAATATTTTAAACTTATTTGATTTAGGATTCTGCTCTACCTTCTTACAGGTCAGGTAAGGTGCCATCTTAATACCAGAGGAAGGATGTTTAACGTGCTTCTGATTCCTGTGGGACCCTTGCTCCTTACTGGTCTCCAAGGAGATGTCCCTTGCTCTGCTGATCCCTGACCATTCTATTCTGTGTCTGATGAGGTATGTCTGGGCCTGCCCATTCTTTGGGACATGTGCTCCCCCTCTCTGCTGAAGTCTATAGTCTTCTGCTGATAGAAAACTCAGCAAAGAGAATTGGAAATATAGGTTAAACCTGTGAACATGGCAATACATTTAGATACTCTTTTTATCTGATATAGGAATGTTTTTCATAAGTAAAAGAAGATGGTTTCTTAGAGGTGTTTTTCTTTTGGATGACCATCTACAATTCATAGCTACAGAGTCTGTTTATCAATCCATTGACAGACTCAAACGGCTTGTATCTTGTGAATTACGAATTTACTCATGAACAGGTATATGTTCTTCTCTCATATGTTTGATCCTTTAGATTCATTAAATGTGGTCTTCGAAAGGAACAAGACTGATAACTGCTGGATTGTCAGAAAAGTCAGGACACATTTTTGCATAGAAAAACTATGTCATGACTTTTCCAACAACCTAATGTTTTAATAAAGTATTGAAATACTTAAACATGTTAATATTTTATTAACACAGTATATTCTATTCTAGGTATAGGTAATTATTGTTTGGTGGTTTCTAAATAGACTAGAACTTCAAAAGAAAATCATGAGGAACTTCAGGTCCTGATTTTAATCAACTTGTTTTCCAAAGAAAAATAGATCTCATTCACATAATCAATATTCGTATTTAACTATACATTTCTACATTATGAAGAAAATATTTACCCTGAGGCAGGGAAAACAGAATCCCAACTTAGTGCATATTGAATGTCTGCATCCTGGAAAACTGCATAAAGATTGACAGATGCATTGGAATTATTCATGTTGTGTGCATACTTTAGGGATGAACGCCTTGAAGACAAACTCAGAATTTCAGTAAGTCAAAATCTGATGAAGACCATTATCAGCAGATAACCTAAAATAATTTAAATATGACTATGGAATATGTAACATATATAATCCTCTACAGATGTATATATTTCTGTTTTACTTAAATTCATATTTTAATTGAATTGAATCCTTATTAGGGATAAGTAGGTTAAGTTATTGAGTAAAAATGAATTTGGAACAAAATACACAAACAAAGTAGATTCAAAATCATGATGTAATTTCATTTTCTGTTCCTTTTTAACTTCTAGGCAAACCTATTAAAGAGTCATATCTGTCACATTACTCCCAGGGAACATCTTTTTTTTTTTTTTTCCCCCAGATGAAAACAACTCATAAATGTTAAAAGTCACAAAGCATATTTAAATACCAATTTTTATTTCATCAGTCTATATCCACAACTAGACTAATTTGTTCCATATTTCAATCAAACTTGTCATTTGAACTTACCCTGAGTGACCTATAGTTTTCCCACTTCGTGGTACATTGTTTTCTTTGCCAGACACACTTTGTCTGCACTTGTCACATGATTCAAGTCAGAAGAGTGTGGTGCATGTACTTCTGGGGTTTGAAGATTGACAGAAATAGCAAAAGAACAACAGCAGCCAAAAACCACAGTAATAGTCAGTATTAAGTGTGCCCTCTTCTGTGACAGTCATTGTGTACGTGATTTACACGTGTTATCTCCTAATATTTGCATTGTGTGAAGGTCTGGAAACTGTCAGCAATATTTAAGGCCCTGGAAAGAAAACAACGGCTAGACACAAAAATCAGAAATACCTACAATCTCCTATTTTTGAAAATCAAAGACTCAGCATGGCAGAAAAAGAGAGAAATGATCATTTTAAGAAAAGGAGACTGGCTCCATGGTCAAATGGTTAAAGAAGTCAGATCCCACATGGCCAATTGAGGTTCAAAACACACTGGGCACATGTCTGTGCATGCCCCAAATTCCAATGGGATGGAGAAATGGACAGTAAGGGTTTGTACTGTGACTACGGCCATTATGGGATTCTTTCTTTATTTCTTCCTTTCTTTCTTTTTTCAGAGATTTTTGCTATAGAGGGCAAGTGCACTTGCCTGAGAGAGAGAGACAGAGACAGAAAGTGAGAAATCAACCCCCGGGTGGATGGCCGCACCACCATCCCTTCCCCTCCTTTCTCCTTTCGGGAATTTGGACATGCATGCACATGCACCTGGTATGAGGCATAAGCCACCGGGTCCAGGGTCAAACCAGTCAACTATGTGTGAGCCCAGCAACATAACCATTACGCCATCTGCTAGTCCTGAGTAGGATGCTTTCTTCTGCTCTGCCTTTGGTGAATACGCATGCTCTCTGGTAATAAGAAAAAGGAAAAGAACTAACAGGCCCCCTTGCCTTAAGTAAATCAATACATAAGCTGTGAATTATGAGCTACTGCTATCTTTTCCTGTGGCCCTCTTTTCTGACTTCATGCAAGTTCAAAAGCATGTTTTATAAACTTTGGCATCCACACAAACTTTGGGATTAAAGGTTACACATTTCGGGTGGATTAAACCCAATTCTTTGGTATGACAGTTGAAAGTAAAGCTCTTAATTTTTTTATACTGAACTCTAGAAAACACAATCAGCAGGATCTGTTATTTATATATATTTTTAATGACAAAATGTAGTCATACTGAATTTTACTTGAGATCAGTGCACTTGCTCTGCCTTTTAATCACTGCAGGGTTCTGCTTAATCTTCTAAAATACAATTTCTTTCTTTTTTGTAAGTTACACTATTTTGCTTGTCTTAATCTCTCTGGCAAACTTTAAACACTCTAAAATAAGGAATATATTTTTTTTCCTTGAAAATATAAATAATACAACATTTAACTCAGTTCATCATACACCACTGAATCTCAATAAGAGCTCTGTCTTAAATTGAATTCTGTTTATAGAGCATACAGAACATATTATTAACAGTCACAGGTAATGTTTCTTTTTCCTCTTATTTAAGAAATGGTATAGCCTACTGGTCAACAGCTTACTGCCTGGCTTCAAATCCAAGCTCTGCCACATGCTTGGATTAAAAAATTCTTTCTGGGGGCCAGCAGGTGGTATTGTGGTTAAGGTCCTGGTCTCCAACATGGTCAACTGCAGCTTGAGTCTCAGATCTGGTGGCTTATTTTCTCACTTTCTCTCTCTCTCTCTCTCTCTCTCTGTGTGTGTGTGTGTGTCTGTCTCATGAGTGCATGTGACCTATGGCAAATTAAATAATAATAAATAAAATTAAATAATAATTTTTTTAATTTTTAATTTTTATTTTTATTATCACAATGTTCTTTATATTACATTGGATTACATATAACTTTACAGTGTATTACATTGCTTTTTCAAAAGGGAATGCCATGCATGTCAGTCAATACAGAGACATTAATCTCCCCGCTTCATCATTCAATAACTTTTCTATGTTTTTCTGTTCCTCAATTCCCTCATTAATAGTAATTCCCTCATAGAATAGTAAAAATAGTGAAATTTAAATATATGTAAAATGTCTAAAAATGTATATGGTACATAGAAAACAATTTAGAAGCATTAATGATTATTATTATCCTAATTTTACTGTCTGCAAAATTTAAATTGGGCTGAGGTTCATAAAGTAAAGGAAGAAAATTAAAAATTAGCTATGCCTCTCAAAGGATGTGAGTTTAGAAGGAACCACAAATTTGTAAATCTTCTTCCTCCTTTCTCCAGTGGTAAAACACATGGGCCCCACTATGGAAATGGAATCGTCTACTCCTGTGAAGGGAATACCCTTGCCTAAAATACTCATACGAATTAGACAGAACTCATGGGAAAAGAGACAGAACATATACTGCCTCTCATGACGGCTGTCTGGTTTATTTTTGGCTTCTTTTCTGATTTCATTTCCTTTGAGATCCAAGACCCAGTTGTGTTTTGTGTTTGATGTGTGGTCAAGGATAGAAAACAAACCCAGTGGATAGAATCATCTCATCAGAGAGCAGCAAATCATGACAATTTAATACAGCATTGACCTGTCTGATTAACAATCTATAAATTAATACTTTTCTTTAAGGAATAAAGTATTAGCCTCATTTTGAAAGCCCAAGAAGAGCAGGTGTTCCACAAAATAGATAAATAATTAACTATCTTCTTCAGGGATTTCTTTCCTCTCACATCCTTCTCATGCCTCTCCCCCCAATTTACCAAACCCCTTAACACCTGTGAGGAGATTATGTGTAAACAGACAAGGGAGACAGTCCCTTGTGCTGTCGGATTAATGAGGTGCCCAGAGGGCCCCATCCCATCCTTTTCCTCCAACTCCTCCTTGATAAAGGCCTTGTCCAGCTTAAATACTTCATTTTCCATAAAAATTACTTACTGGAACTTTTAATACACTTTTAATTTTGAACAGATCAAGCAAACCAAAAAATAAGGATGTAGAAAAGTTTAGGATGATAATAGATCATTTTGCTTTCATGGCTATGCATTAAAAATGGTTTCCTGGAGAGACCATATTTTTTTACTTGGCCACAAAGAAAATCTCAACAGAATCCTCCAATTAGAAATGATACAGGCTTGTCAGATTCATAGAGAGGAAAATAGGTAATTGGACCAGCCTGGGTACATTTTAGGAGTACCCACGTATGTAAGTTCTCGGGGGAAAATTTCTTAAAAGAGGGTCAGGAATAAAAGTGAGTGTGATGTGGGAGATGCTAATGGGATATTTCATGGAAGAGGACACTATAAAATCGAACCATCATTCAGTTACCTTCCCAATAAGTCTAAGGACAAAAATCTGTGACTCTAAGACTAATGTTTCAATTGCACAGTTCCCGCTGTTTTCTCTAGCAACCCAACATCATAATCTTAACAAATATTATGTCAATATATCACTTTAAAAATTGTTAAAACATGATGGTTTAAAAAAATATGCTCCTTGGAACACTTGGTCCATATCTCTCCCATTCCTCCCATGCTGCTGGCTCATCACCAAGGACTTCGGGGAGGGAGAGGATGGGGCACATCTGAGAGCTGGGTTGGAAGGACAGTGGAACTCCAAGTGTATTGACTGAGCAATCTGGCTGTTGCAGATGATTCTAATACTTACCATAAGCTCTGGAAATATCATTTAAATCTGGTCTTGCC